GTGAAGTGGCTCCAGGCGGTTAAGGAATCCAAAAGGTGCTATGATTGACGTGACTGGAGTCAAATGCATTAAATGTTATGATGATTCGAAAGTCCCATCAAAATCTTGTGTAGGTGTTTAAAATAGGTATTTCTCAGGGGAATCGAAATACATATTTTAAAGGGGCAATTTGTTGGCTGAAGATTTTGATAATGTTATTAGAAGCCAAATGAATTAAACGTTTTGATCGAAATGAGGTAAAGCGTCATGTTTCGAAGTAGCAGAAGCAGTGTTTCGAATAAGTATGTCAAAGCTTGGAGCTTCGAGTGGAAATTATGGGAACATATCTAAAGAAGTCTCGAAATAACAATAAGGCTGTGTCTGGGAAGAGCGTTCGAAACGGAGAAGTACCAAAGCATTTGAAATTCAAATGGAAGCGGGACTTTCGAAGTTTGAAAGTTATGTGCTGGAGCAGTTGGGGACACGTGGAAAGACGAAAGAGGCATTGTCCTGCATGTTCTAAACGTGGCATAATCCTATAGCAAGACCGTTATGGTCGAATTAGTATAAATAGAAGTCTTAGTATTAGGATTTCGTGTGTCATATCTATTATACAAAATACTCAGTAACATTCAAACTACCACATGGCAAGGGAAACAAATGCAAGAGAAATGTATGTATGATAGCACCATGTATTTCTGATTTAATGAAAACCTTTTACCATTTCCATCACTTTCCTTTATCCTTTTGTCAAATAACATTTACAAGTTTTCTCATTTACAGTCTTTTCACTTCGAAATCTCTTCTTCAAAGTTTTACATCTTAATGTTTTCTTCATATTCCAAGCACTTTATATCTCAGAAAACTGTCATATTTTCCATACCTTTACCTTCAAGTCTTATCCTTCGAACGCATCTTTTTACTTAAAGTCATTTAAAGATTTCTTGCATTAAACGCTTTCTTCATATTTCAAACCTTTTACGTTCCAGAAATCCTTTATACTAACTGTTTTGTAAGTCGAAACCATTTACTTCGCTTTTATGCAATTTTACATGTCTTTACAATTAGCATTTATTCGTGTAACTTAGTTTTCACACATACATTTTGATTACATCTTTAGACTTTTAGAGAGAGAAATCGAAATAAGCCAAACACATATACAATATCAACCATGAATATCTGTTCGATCGTGAGGGTAACCTTAATATCCAAGGAGTCCTAGGATCAATCTAGTCGATCCTGTGAGTTACCAGAGGAATTGAATAACAGTCAGAAAGATTATTCGATAGTTTGGAAGACTAGCGGTTGTTTACCAGAAATCACTGGAAACACCTGCACTCCCAGTAAGTGAATGGGATGGCTTATGAGTCTTGAAAACGTCTGGAAGTGTGAAATCAGATCACCAGTTTCTTTGAATTTTTCAAGTTTGGTTCTACCTTTGTGCGCCTCAAAACCCTGTGTTTTTTGTCTGTTTTTGTTCACTATATATCACTGATCAAATTAGGTTTACAAAAGTCCATTCAATCTTTGTCAATTATGGCTTTTGATCTTGATTTGATTTCCATGAAAACCTTTCCAAAAATAGTCCAAAACCAATCTTTTCATGCACACATAGGCCTTGCACGATTTGATTCACTTGCTAGCTGTATATGGGACCTGAAATATGCACAAGATCTTGAAGTTTGAATGATTTGGATTTTTTCATGATTTGTTTTGATTTAAATTGATTTAAATGCAATAAAAATCAAAATAAATAGAAAAAATAAGATAAATACAAATGGAAAGAGCTAGGGCTCGTGGACCATGCTAAAAACTCAAAACAAGTACAAAAAGTTAGGCCCATTTGACAAAAATTGCAATTTGAGGCACTTTTGACTTTTGGCAATTTTGCAAAAAGGGTCAACTTCACCAATGCATGAATTCTTCAATTTTGACTCTTTGGAGGTGTTCTTGGACTTTTTAGAAATCTTGAGATGTCCTCTAAGAAAACCTTTTGGTCTCATCTCCATTGAGTCTTCCATGTTCATGTATGAAGCTTTGACAAAAAAGGTGTTTTTGTTGACTTTTCAAAGTGACCTATAATGTCAAAATTCATAACTTCTTGTGAGTGCACATTTTGAACTTGGGAGATGAAGATTAATTGTAGGGAATTGCATCCTATTAAAAATGAGATTTGGATGGGTCATTTATAATAAAGTATGAGAAAGTTATGCTTGGTCAAAGTTGAGTTGACTTTTCCTACAAAACCCTAATTTAGCAACTTTTAGGTTTTGATGCATTGTGAGAAATCCTTGATGAATCATGATCCACCCTTGATCAAATGATGAATAATAATCCAAAATGAGAATGTTGACAAAAAATATTGAAGTTTGACTGTATGTGGGCCACAGTTGACTTTTGCCCTTGCACAATCGATTTTGAGGCCTTTGAGCAATTGACTGAGCAAACTTTCTCTGCAAGGATTGAAACTTGACATGGATGATCTTGAGAACATATTAGGGCAATGGTGAGCAATTGAGACCCTTTGGACTCACACATCTTGATGCAACATGAAACCCTAATTTTGAGGTAGACTGTCTTAGGAGAGAGTTTGTCTGGTCAACTCTTGGACTTCCTTGAGCAATTTGAGGACCTCACTTAAAATGTATTGAGAAACATGGGAGGGAAAATTTTGGGGTATAACACTACCACTACCTATGGAGTGGCTACATACCAAGAGGCGATATGTCAATTATTTTCCAGCTTAGGGTGTGTATACTGCGCTCGTGTATTGGTGTTCCGATTACTTTAGGCATATGCTTTTTAGCTTTTATTTGTGACGATGCATTGATCCTTTTGGATGTATTCTGAACTCGTCATTACCTTTCATGATAAAAAGGAAACATATTTTAGTGATAACTTTCTTTTCAATTCAATACTTGCATAACATAGTACATTTCATGTATTTCTTTCACAATAAAAGGGAATTAAAATATAACATAACCATGTGACTTATGCCACCGCTTATTTGTTCTTAGGGTTGAAGTTGTCTTATGGCCAACCACTTTCATTTGGCGGTTCCATTTGTAGTATCTTTTTTGTTGGGGGACGAATGCCCATATCTTTGAGTTGCTTAACCAATGAAGCCATATTAATTTCCATACTATTTCCATAGTAGCGGCTTCTCATTATTTCTATTCTTGTTGTAAGTCTTGATAAATCCTTTTAGTTCTTATCAAGTCTGTGTTGATGGTAACTGGTTCGTAATGGATGTTATGATAAATTATTTTTAAATGAGTTGGAAAGGCCACTGCATCTAGCATCGCTAAGAAGGGACATCCTAAGATACAATTGTAGACATTTTGGCACAGAACGACCATGAATTGGGGTGTCGACAATTCTGGTTTCGCCCTTCTTCGAGGATATCCATCAGCTCCACGTATCCCCATGAACCAATCATAGTGTCGTTGAAGGCTTGTAAATCCGACCCTCCATATGATAATAACTTCTCTTTCTTCAGTCCCATTTTCCAAAGAGGTCGATGTACATAATGTTGCAAGAACTACCCCTAGTAATCAAAACTCGAGACACATCAAAGTTGGCTATAGTCACTGTTATTACCAAAGAGAATATCTCGTTTGAAATTCCTCCCACCTTCTCATTGTCTCAAAATATGAGGACCAGTCTTTCTGGGTTGGTGGTTGAGGTGTTCCCTTCCTTTTTGCTTATGGCCATTAACTCGACAATCTCCCTCTTTATTGTGCCTTTGGACAACACGCTTGAAATGAGGCTTCCCCGGTTATAGAGGCGATATAGTGAAGCTTGCCTTTTTGTTTTTCACTTTCTTCATTACAAGAGAAATACTTGCATAAGAACACATATATTCATATTTTTAGAAACCATTAATAAGGAGATGGAAAATTTTTAAATTTATTTATTTTTTAATTGAAATCATGAGATGGTGGTGATAATGAAGGAAAGAGAAAAAAATATTTTTATCTCTTAATTAATAAAAAAAATATGATTGGTTTTTTGTAAAGTTATGTCTTATGTTTGTTTCTATGTAAATATTTTACCTTTACCTTTCCCCTCCAACTACGACCTTGATTGTCTTATTTGAGGATTGTCTTTTCCTTGGAGATTCTTCTCTATCTCTCTTACTATGTCCGCTATATTCAGACAGACACCATTTTTTGATAAATCTTTGAACTATGTCATTGAGCCGAATGCAATCGTTAGTATTGTGGTTGCGACTTTTATGAAAACAACAATATTTTGATCTGAGACAACAAATTATACGACTAAATACAAATTTCTTATCCATATTTCTTTAAAATCCATATTAACACACTCTGTAAAGATTCTTTTACAGAAAATGTTTAATAGAGCATAGGAGCCAAATTTTGAATGAAGCCTTCACTCATACTTTTCTCATAATCTTTCTTTGTCGTTCATCCAAATCCGAAGATACTAAGTCCTGGTCAGCCTCCTCCATCAACAATTTCTCCTCCATAAACATAATTGAGCTGAATTAAATAATATTAATATTATAATTGTTTTTTTAATTTTAAATATTTTTATTTCTAATACTAACAAAAAAAGAAAGAAAGAAGGGGGTCGAATCCAAGACTTGGACGCCAACCAGTGAGAGAATGGCGATTGAGCATTTTCAATGTATAAAGTAAATAAAAAATAAAGAAAGGAGGCCAACGACCCCGTCTCAGCTTCGTACAATACAGAAAGCAACCTGACTCTGTTTCTTCTCTCTTCAATTCAAAACGCAATTTCTCAATCCAAATTCACCCTTTCAGATCCCTAACACGCCTCTCCAAATTCACGTTCCCACAAAACCGATCCAATGTCGCTTTGAATCACGTGCCCTAATCTTCTCCGATTTCTTTCCCCTTTTTCAATTCCATTCTTTAACCCACTTAGGTCAAACTATACCATGTCATTGTCATAGTGATTCCCGTAACCCTAATTTGGTCCCTTTTCAGCTTCTTCTTGTTCAAATTGAGATAACAAGGAGCTGGTGAACGGGAATGGGTTCTAAGATGGAAGGTACTTCTACACCAGCTGTTCGACGGGATCCTTATGAGGTTTTATCCGTTTCGAGGGAATCAACCGATCAGGAAATTAAAACCGCTTACAGAAAGCTTGCTCTAAAGTTAGTTTTTTTTTTTCCTTTTTATTTTGGGTTTTGAATTTTTTTACTTTGAATTTTTCATTTGGGTAGTTTATACAAGGTTTTGTTTTGGTAGGTGCTGTTAGGTATTTTTGCTTTATAGTGATTTATTACTTGCATATGAAAAATGGAATAGTTAATGCTTTCTTGAATCTTTCAAGGTATAATGAACATTCTTTCTTATCTGTAACCTATATTTTTGCGGGATTTTTGCTTTGATTGTGTGGAATATGGAGTTTGTTGGTTGTTTTCTTTATAAAAATTGCGATAAACATACGTAGGTCTTTTTATTTTTAATATATCGGTATCGATGTTGTAAGCATGGCGCGATAACGGATCAGTTTAGTGTAGCGGCTGTAGTAGAAAAAATAGCGGATGTCGCAGCTGCTATAGTGCTTCCCCTCATTATGAGTTTATAAGATTCTGAGAAGTCCTTAAAATTTATAGGTTAGGGCATTTTGCTCGGAGTATTTTACGAATTTCACAATTAAAGAACACCGGAAAGGTGTTTGCGCTTCTCCACTCTCACTGCCTCTCTTCTACTGTCTTTTTGATCCTTTCATTAGTCAGTCATGGCTAGTTGTGAAGTTTTTATGTATATAGTACTATAAATTATATTAAGTATAAACTGTACAAGGATTTCAAAATAGTGGTCAATCTCTATCTGCTATCTCACTGTGGCGTTTTTGAGGTCAGCCACGATGCTTTGCTAACTAGGATTGATAATATTCATATCTATATAATTGACAGGTATCATCCTGACAAGAATGCCAGCAATCCTGAAGCTTCAGAACTATTCAAAGAGGTTGCATATTCTTATAATATCTTATCTGACCCAGAGAAGAGAAGGCAGTATGACAGTGCAGGATTTGAGGTCCTTTTCTTCCTATCCTTCACTTGTTTTTTTTGTTTGTTTGTTTGATAAGGTTTATCCTTCCCGTGTGAATCCAACGCCCTTCTATTTATATGCACATGCTCTTTCTGTTTATCTGTTCCAGTCTTTACTACAGTATGAAACAAAAACTGTGGCTGGTGGCTTAGGAAAATTCTACTTAGTTATCTAGCTGGGCAAACAAACTTGACTACTAGATTTGTTTTCCCCTCCTTTTCTGGGGATCTGCCATTTTAACATCCTACTTCTATGATGGTCAAAATTGAGAACCTGAAAGCTTTTCTTATGCTTCCAACATTTATATCTCAGGAGAGAGGAGCTAATGCATTCATATTGCCTACCTACATGTTTACTTTTATATTTATTTAGCCAAAATTCGAGTTTATGCTTGTTAGCTGTGAAATTTGAGCCATTTGTTTCGGTATATACCATTTACATAAGTGTTGTTTTTGTTATTCCTGTCTATCTTTTTGTAGATTACTATATTTTAAGATTAATTCTCGCGTTTATCTTTACTATTATGGCATGTATATTCTTGAAAAATTTAGTTTCGTTAGTACTCTACTCCTTGTGTTCAGGTAAATGGGTTGTTTTGATATATTGTTGCTATATAGTCCTCGGAAGCTCTTTTTGTGTTTCAGTTCATATTCTTCCCGATACAACTCTTTTCTTATTATGTAACTTAATGCTATTTTGCCTATGCATATCAGGCATTGGACGCTGATAGCATGGACATGGAAATCGATTTATCTAATCTTGGGACTGTGAACACGATGTTTGCAGCTTTATTCAGGTGTGGATTTTATTGTATGACTGTTTATTTTTCAAAGTTATCTTGCTCTACATCTACAGTCTACATTGTTTCTTACTTTATTTGGTAATAGCAAGCTTGGTGTCCCTATCAAGACTACCATTTCAGCTAATGTTCTTGAAGAGGCTTTGAATGGCACAGTTACTGTCAGACCCCTTCCAATTGGAACATCAGTTAGTGGAAAGGTTGTTTCCTTCTTCATGATGAGTGAAGCAATACAGTAATCTTCCTGGTATCTGTTTGTTCTTAATTCCACACCGTGGCAATTCACTGCAGGTAGAGAAGCAATGTGCTCATTTTTTTGGCGTGACAATAAGTGAGCAGCAAGCTCAGTCAGGGATTGTAGTTAGAGTTACTTCAACTGCACAAAGCAAATTCAAGGTATCACTGATAATGCCTTTTTATGAAGATTCTTCCAGTTAATGTAGCATTGGATTGTAATATTGAACACCGATTTTTCAGTTGCTCTATTTCGAACAAGATGCAAACGGTGGCTATGGTTTGGCCTTGCAGGTAATATTTATGTAGGGCTTCAACTTTTACTCCCTTTGACTTGATAATTTACCAAAATATCAGTATTAAATTAAAATTGCTATACCACCATGAATGGGTTGAGGTTGTAAGCAGTCCCAATCACCATGGACGAGAACGTGAATTCAGATCTCATTAAAGCTATAATAGGAAAAAAAATGCATAATTCCTGTGCTTCTGCAGTCGAATAAGGATTAGGCGGTTCATATGACCAAACTATTGGGGATACCCCATGGTTTTATTCCCCGAAAAATGAAATGACTATTAATTTGGTATTACTGGCGTTTTCTTTAAGTATGGTTGTCTCCAGAATGTAGAACATCAAAGTGTTGCCCATTAACTTATAACTCAAGTTCTTCCCTCCCTTCACCCGTATCCTTTTCCCTTGTAGTTGTGTCTTGCAGCATAATACTGATAATCACCGGGCATTAAATAACAATCCTTGCACGTGGTTGTATTTTTGTTTCAAAAAATGCGGAAGCATGACAGTACAAATTTCAAGCTATGTTGGTTGCTTCAAAGCTTTTGGCCTTGTGTTTCCTGCTTTTCTCATCTGAATAAAAATTAAAATTTAGTCCTCAAACTTTCAAAACTTGTGAAACAAGTCTTGCATAAGGATTCTGTAAAGTAATTTTCTGTTAGGCCCACAAATCAGAGAAAGATATAACACAAACATTTGTTGAAAGACGAAAGTTGTGTGCTTTCAACTTGATGGATTTTGTTAAGATACACTTAATTCTTCTTAAGCTATTCGAAATCGATTCATAAATTGCACAGCTCACAACTAGTTTATTGAAGGTGTAGTTATGCAATACAATTGGTCATTTATTGCGCTAGTATTCCATGCAACTGTGTATACAGGAAGATAGTGAGAAGACTGGGAAGGTGACATCTGCAGGAATGTACTTCTTACATTTTCAAGTGTACCGAATGGATTCAACCGTGAATGCGGTATGTAATTTAGATTATGTGTATTTTGGATTCAGCTGAGACATCTGCAGGAACATATTTCTTACTTTTAGTGCTGTGGTGCAGTTAGCAATGGCAAAGGATCCTGAAGGGGCTTTCTTTAAAAGGTTGGAAGGTCTTCAACCTTGTGAAGTATCGGAACTAAAGCCTGGCACACATATATTTGCTGTTTATGGTCTGAATAATTTATTTTGTTTCATTTTTCTTTTGCTTGCTGGTGTTTTTTTTAATGTAAACTAAATTCAAGTCGATCTTGTGTAGGAGATAACTTCTTTAAGACAGCTAGCTATACAATTGAAGCAGTATGTGCAGAAACACTTGAAGATACCACCGAAAAGCTTAAGGATATTGAGGCTCAAATTTTAAGAAAGAGGAATGAGCTGCGCCAATTCGAAACAGAGTATAGAAAGGTTATTATTTTCAACAGTTATTCATGATTTGAAGTTTGTTTTGTGTGGTCCTTAAAGTGATATTTTTCTGAATACTTTTCAGGCATTGGCACGCTATCAAGAAGTGACAGACAGATACACAAAAGAAAAACAGTCTGTACGTTCCTTCCACTCGTGCTACAGTTATACTACTAATGCATATCTAGAAATGTACACATTAGCATTCTTTTTAATACTAGTTTTTCCCACAGCCTAACGGATAATCAGTTGAAAAAATTCCCATCTACTCCATTAAGTTGTGGCAAGAATAAATCTCTTGCAGATTTTCATTTTTCTCACCTGGCTTACTTGGGGGTGGCTGATAATCTATAGCAATCACATATTATAATTTAATAGAGGACAAGGAAACAACTCAGATGTTGTGCAATACAATACTTATCCTTGTTTTGTCCTTTAATGTACATTATTATGTGAATATGTACAAAATGTCAGAAAAAAACCATTTCCTGTTTTCAAGATGTCCTGAAACGTTTTCACCATTTCTGCAAATTCTAATCGTGTTTTCAATGTTAATTATAAAAATGCATTGTTTTCACTTTATTCTTTTCTACAGAATATGATGAAAATCATGAGAAGTTGCATTTTTTTTATTTATAAAAAGGTTTGAAAATAGGAAACAAAGTGAAAAAGAGGCCACACTTTGCAATTAAAACTGAACACAATGAAAATATTAATTGTTTTCCAAATCTAAACAATATTCTGAAACAAAATGAAACAAAGCGATTTGTTTTATCAATCATTGTTTAAAATATATCAACTGAAAATGAGCATAGAAATTAAATGAAACATTTTATTATAGGCTTTACCATTAAATGTGTTTTGCACTTCAGTATTTTACACTTACAATATGATGTAACTTGTCTGTTACTTTTCTGGCTACACAGGTAGATGAGCTTCTGAAACAAAGGGATGGTATCCATTCGACCTTCACCATTGTTAAGCCAACCAATATTAGTGGAAGTGGTAGTAATTTAAGCAATGGAAGTTCTAGCAAAATTTCCGGTGAAGATTCCAAAGGTGAGAGCCCCGGGGAAGATGCAGGGTCAGATGGCAGGGATAAATCAGGCAAAAAGAAATGGTTCAACCTTAATCTTAAGGGTTCAGGTTCGGGTTCTGATAAGAGGTTGATATGAAATACACTTCATTTTGCTTATCTCTTGGAACAATATGCTTGAATGAATGTCTGTCAGTCATAGCATCAAACTTACAGCATCCCAGATATATCGGGTGTAGCGTATGTCTGCAATATTTTCACTTGCTTGGTTCCATAAGATTGTAAACTGGTTGGTTAATTTGTTCATTGGTTTGTGATGCAGTCAAAGGTATACAGAATATGTCATTTTACTATTTCCCATATTTTTGCTGTCCAATGAATCCAAATTTTCCGATTCCCTTGTAGCACCCTGAACATACATATTTTTGATACTGTAACGATATATCATATGTTCATTCTTGTAACTGACATTTTCTTTCCTTTCCCTATATCATTTTACAGTCCATCCTTGCTGCACAATATTAGCATTCAATAAATAGCTAGGGTGGATGTTATACTTTTTAAATTTGGCTCCCATAAAGGAGGTGAATAATAATCACGATAAATAGCTGAATCAAAATTTCTAAGTTTGCCGCCCATTTGGGCCTTACAAAATTTGAGGGATTAGTCTCGCACGACTAAAATATGATTGACACCCGTATCCGTAAATGTTGATTATTTAATTCTTAAATCTGGTATTTTAATATAGTTTTTAATTGGTTAACTTAACCTTGGACTTAGTTAGATTCTTAGTTCAATCATGGTATGAGAATCTTATCAAAATTGGGTTTATATGCGACTACTAGTTTTGTGAACAGTTTACCTAGGTAGCTAAGCATATTTTTCTTTTAGTTCGAATAAAAGAACTTAATTTCCGTGAGGATTATATAAAATTTTGACATAAAAAATTCTCTACAATGCATCAAGACTACAAGTGTTCGTATCAATCGCAATCCATTTTCTATTTACTTCCCTAAACACGCCACGGTTGAAAAATATGACAAGAAAAGATTCATCAATAATCAGTAATTATAAGACATCATTGGCTGATTATGTTGTACTCTTATCAAAATATTAACTCGAGCACCGTGTTATTCATTTAGTCGCAATCATCTAATTTTAAATTTATGTTTATTGACTTGTTTGTGTCGATTGTTTTGATAGGGAAACAAAATCAAATTGATTTTAAACTTGATAGAAAGAAAATAAGTCTCGGTAGGTTTTGTATGCGGTTTTGTATGCGGTGTTGGAGATAAGGAAAGGAAAAACTTTGATGGAAAGTAACATAAGAGAAAATAATGATTTTTTAAAATAATATATATAACTAGGAAAAGATTTTTAAAATAATATATATAACTAGGAAAAGATTCGTGTGAACGTATGAGTCGCATAAATTCGATATAAATATTAAATAAATATTATATAATTATGAGTAAGAAATTATATAAAAATATATACGAAATAAAAGAAAAAAAATTTAAATAAAAATTATCATATAAATATTAATTTAATTTATTAAATTGTAGGAACTGTCAGGATATATATAGAAATTATATTGAAATATATATATATATATATATATATATATATATATATATATATATATATATATATATATATATATATATATATATATATATATATATATATATGGTGTAGTACATTTCACATACATATAAAATCGATTATCTATCCGTGTGTTTGTATGGGCCGCACAATACTGTTACAAATGTGCAATACCCGCGTGTCCGCTCCGTCCTGCACCCATGGTTTTGTATGGTGGGAAAAAGTTTTAGAACCCATGTGTCTATTTAAAAAATATATATTTTTTATTTCCGTTTACTAAAATAAAAATATGAATAATTAACTTTTTCCCGTTAATAAAAATATTGATAACTTATTCTAATTTATAAAAATAACTATATTAACAGTTGACTATTTCCCGTTTATAAAAATAAATTATTGAAGAATAAATTAATTATTGAGAAAAAAAATATTTTTTTAAATAAACAAAATAAATATTGAAAGATAAATTAATTATTGAAGAAGAGATTATAAAATAATATATTATTGAAAGAAGAGATTTGAAATAATATATTTTTGAAGGAGAGATTATAAAATAACATATTATAAAAATATTATGTTCCATTTTCAAAAAATTGAGTGAGGTATACTTTTTTTTATCAATATTAAATGTAATTAGTAAGACAGATATTTTAAAATAGAGAAAAAAAATTTTAAATGTATATTTTCTTTTATTAAAAAGTTGTCTTATAATAATGATTTAAGGAGATATGAATGTGTTTTTTTAACAAAAAATATTATATATTATTTTATGAGCTATTAACAATCAATGTAATAATTTCATTTAATTTTAATAATTTAAGGGGATATGAATATTTTATTTATAAAAAAATATTATATACATGTTATCTTGAAAAATCTTAAGGTATTCAAGTACATGTATTAAATGAGGATATTCTCATAAGCTAAGGGTCATCCTCTAAAAAAAAGGGTTTTTGGGAAATTGGAGCCAAAGTATTTGAAAATTTGGTTTTATTAAACTAGATTTAATGTTTAAAAGAAATATCACGCCAAATTGTCGAAACTGAGCCAGGTCAACCAAAAGGAAATAAAAGAATATATGTTAAGAAATGGTCGAAATTGGTTTAGTCGACCAAAGGGTGAAAGATAAGGAAAATGGTCGAAATTGGTTTTTGTCAACCAAAAGGGTTTTTGGACTTAGAGGAATTGTTGTTGATTTTTAAATCTTGCCAAAGCGAAGTGTCGAAGAGAGTCAGAAGCGGTTTACTTTCAGAAGCTAGGAGCAAGAAGATTTAAATTTCAAAATCATCAACAGTTGCCAGCGGTTTACAATTTGTTTAAGCGCCAAATAGGTGGTGACATCCAGTGAAACGGTTGTCTCAAGATTTTAATATTGTCCGTAGATTTCATCTAGGCAGTTTACATTGCAAAAAATATTATAAATAAGCAGATTTAGTGTAGTTTTTTGATGTGTTCACTTGTATGCTCAAATCACTTGTCAAAACTGAAGAAGTGAAAAACACAAGAAGGGGGATTGAATTGAAATTTTAAATTCAAAATCAATAGACACGGTATTTTTATCCTGTTCGTTTGATCTCAAACTACTCAAGTCCACCCGCCAAGGTGATTTCGCCTCTCTCCAACGAGGACTTAATTCACTAATCAAACCTGATTACAATACTACTTTGACAACTCCCAAAGTCTTCTTGAGTACAACCACAACCCGGTTTATCTCAAGGAAAACTAGCTTAATCAAAATAAAATAATGTACTGTGTACTGTTGTTTTTCTTTACAAAAACTGTATCACTACTGTGATATTTTACACAATTTGAGCGTATATGAGAATATGAAAGATTGCAGCGTTTTTGTGGTATTTTCAGTAGTATCTCAAAAATAGTAAATAATTTGTCCTTTAAGCTTGTTTATATAGGCGTGGAAATCTTGTCCAACATAAAGCGTGATAATGGACACTCAATGCTATTTCCATATTGAGAAGATTCTTGTCTGAATGAAGCTGTTGCATATGATGCTGTCTTAATTGAAAAGTAACGCTTTAGAACTAGAATCTTGCACGTTGCATTTGCTTCAGAATATTGATGACTCAGAGATGTGAGGATCTGATGTATATTAAACTTCTGTTCAGAATCAGAGTATCCTTTACTTTAGCGCAAATTCTGATCATCATTCTTCAGAACATTCTGATTACCTCAACTTGAAAGCTTCTGTAGCTTAATTTATGGTGCTGTTTCAGTCAGAACTTCTGCATACAAAATAACACAAATTTAGAGTGCATATTTGTTCTTTGTGTTTGTTATCATCAAAACTCTAATTAAGGGTTGTAGACTCAAACTATGTTCTAACAATCTTCCCCCTTTTGATGATGACAAAAACTAGGTTTTTCAATGAAAAATATAGAACAAAAAGCTTAAGAGAGTCTCTCTCTGAGTTGATTACTCAGATAGAGATGAGTTACTTCCCCGAAGTTCCTTCTCGTCAGATCTTTTCATGCATCTCCTTCTGTCTTTATCAGAATATGTTCCTGTTCAAGCTTTTCAGAAAAACATAGAGGTTAAGATATTCAGAATGTTTGAGACTTTGTTCCAGTATACTGTTATTGAAAATATCTTACTTTCTCCCCCTTTTTGTCAGGTATCAAAAAGCAATATAATCAGAGTCAAAAAGATGATTTATATTGAAAACATAATGCAATGACATTTTTCAGAAATAAGGAGGATAAGATGAAAAATACAGATAAACAATTAAAGAAAATCTAAGAAGGAGGGGAAAGTCGTGTGGACAATGCTTCCAACAAGATCTTAATCTGAGTGCTTGATTCTTCTTGCTTTCCCAGAATGTCTTTGATTTCTTTTGTTGTATCTTCTTGTTTATCCAATATATCCATGATCTCTTTGTTTGTGTCTTCTTGCTTATCCAGTTTGGCATGGATTAAGGCATTCTCCTTTTTCAACTCTTCCAGAGTTTGCATGACTAGAGACGAAGCTGGTGTATCTTCAGGGGTTGCATGTCGTTCATAACACTCTGCAGCCTCTTCTGATTGAACAACATCTTCTGTTGCAATCACCTTTTCTGGAGCAGTAGTCAGAGGGTGACTATCAGAATCTGGTTCAGTGACTTCTGAAGGTTGGTGCTCTTTCCAGGGAGCATTATCCAGCAGAAGAATTTCTTTCTTGTCCCAGTGGCTCAGAACTTGATCTTTGAAGGCTTTCAGCTGATCACTGAAGTTCTGCTGAGCCCTTTCATAGCTCAATTCTTTCAGCTTCTGGGTTTCAGAGTTGAACCATTTTCTGAATCTTTCCCCCAGAGAATCAGAAGCAGCAGGATTAGAAATCTCTTGACTAGCTTGCTTCAAAGAAGTAATCCATTCCTGTATTTCTGTTTCAAAAATCAACAGATTATTACCAACATCTGATTTGGTTAAGGTTGGTTTAGGTTTGGGGGTGGCAATTTTGTTTGAGGTGGAAGCTAGATGGTCCAGCGCTTGTAGATTAATGACAATTCTGAGGGGTTCAGCTGGACGGTTGATAGGTGAGGGA